GTTAAGTCTGTGAATCGTTTCTATATTTCCCTCCAATGTTATCAGAAGTTAAAAAAGGAACCCTGTCCCTTTAACACAGGCAGTAAACACCAGAATCACTTTCTTTTAAGAGTAACTTCCTGTAAATTGCGAAGGGGGAAATACATGTGGCTTCATCAAAGCAGCTTGTGAGAGCTTTTGCGGTGTGTTTTGTTAAGAGAAAATGGAACAAGGCTGGGTGAATTCGGCTATCAAGAGGGGTTTTCAAGTTTGTTTACTCTGATGTGCAAACTTCCAGGAACGTGGGGTTCCATCGCTCTAGTGCTCTCCGCCGGCGGAAACTGCTTTCTAAAGCTATGGGTCTGGCGGTTCCAGTCAGCCTTCCACGGACTACGATTTACTGTATCCTCATTCAAAAACAGGACCATCCATGCCATGAAGTCACACGCACATCCCCACCAGAAAATAAAATAATGCATACGTAAAATGAACCCTGCTGCCTGTCACTCACCTCGCTGCATTTCCATCTATTATCACAAGATTAAAAACGTGCTGACTCATAGTACAGTTACAAGAAATGTCACTGGTTTCTCAACTTGAACACCCCTTCTCTTTGACTGTGTAATTTGCATGAAAGTTTTTCTTTCCTTACAACAGATGTTCACATTCCTGCCAGCAAAATCGGGATGCTTCTAATGACACGTGAGAAGTTATCTCTTGACAATATCCTTTGCAAGTGAATGGCAGATTCAGATAAATCCTCCCGAGGAAAGACTTTTAGTTACTTATCCTGAAATCTTTAAATGAAATAAGGAAGGGACAGAGAGATTCTTAGGTGTTTCTTGTCTTTTTTTTTTTTTTTTCAAAATGACCAGGTAGTAAAGAGACTTACGTTGGACTGTGTTAATTCAGACCTTTGACTTTAAGATCAGTATACCTCGATGGCTCATGTCTGAGAAGAATTTCTTGGCAATAAAAGCAAAACATGTGCTCATATTTTTCTATTATAAGTCATGCAGTGAATATGTTGTAATTTATTTTGATCCTGGGGATTGAACCCCAGGGGCCATTTACCACTGAGCACATCCCCATCCCTTTTTAAAATTTCTTATTTGAGAAAGGGTCTCGCTGAGGTGCTGAGGCTGGCCTTGAACTGGCCATATTCCTGTTTCACCCTCCCAAGTAGCTGGGATTACAGTGTGTGCCACTGTGCTCAGCCAGTGAACATATTTTAAACAAGTGTAATCATTAAATAAAAATTAAGGGTGCATGATTCTTGGTGAACATATATAACTGTTCTCTTTCACTTGGGAAATAGTAAAATAAATTTCCAGAAACACAAGACTTTCTGGGTTTAAAAAAATATATCTTAGGAATTGCTTCTGAGTAACCCCCTAACAAGTCTTTTGTGATACTTGTATAAAAAGCACTAAGATTTTTAGGCCAATTACCAGCCAAAGGAAGCATAATCCAATTTACCATGCAGCCATTTATTTTAGATATGTACATTTTATATAAGTATGTATAAAAATTGCTTACTAGGTTTAAGTAAACATTTCTTAATTTAGCAAACTGAGTATCCAAAAGACATCTATGGAAAAAGGGATTCTGACTTTTCTCTGTTCATTTTTTTTTTCCTTTTTTTTTGGGGTGCTGTGGATCAAACCCAGGGCCTCATGCATGCCAGGCAGACACTCAACCACTGAGCTATATCACCAGCCCTCTCTGTTCACTTCTAATATAGTTTTTTACTTAAGAATTCCATCTCACTGGTTCACCATGGTGGTCCTTCCTAACCCTGATATTTCAAAGGAGGTTGTATACGCCAGACTTTTTTTTTTTTTACTGGATTGTAAGCATTTTCCTTATACTATGGAAGTAACTTACATACTGTCAGATTTGATTACTTTTATAGTATAGATGGACTTAAATAGGACAAGTTCTATGGTCCTTCTCCATTCTCCTGGCCCATCTTCTACCCATCCTTCCTTAGTGACATTTCTCTTCAACATAATTCATTTATGATAACTCTTCCATTCAATTAAAGTTAACTCAGCAAGAAATCAAGAAGGGGTGAAATCTAAGGCTTGGTGACTCATTACTACTTCCTTGCAGAGAAATTCAAATGAACCTACCCTTAAAGCAAGCAGCAAACTGTTTCCTTTCATCACAAGGTCTAATGAGTTGCAAAAAATTAAGATTCACATATAGTGCATATCTCCCCCACTAAACACCCATGGGCTGTACTTCCAGAGCCAAACATTTAATCAGTTTCTCTGCACTTGCTCAGAATTCTCTGTTCCCACAGGGACCCAGCATCTCTTAGCACAGGCTGAAAAAGGAAGTGACCCTGCTCTTCTAGCTCCAGTTTTTCCTAATACTGAAAGTCATGAAAATTTTTCCTTACTTACCCGCCAGAAGTATTTCCTGTTGGCATTCTTGGGGACTGTATCATTGGTGTAGATTTCACCTATTAGGGGTCCAAATCGTGTTCCCTTTGGTATGTATTCTTTACTCACCACTCCAATAACCTAAAAGGGATAAAATACATGAAACAGTTATTTTAACTGCAAAATGTTAACCAATCTTGTTATTCTAACAAATTGAACAGTCAAGTGGTGACACAATCAACTATGGGGAGCAGACATTCATGATTGCTGGTGCAGGTAACAAACAGTAAGCTTCATCTGAGGGGATACTATCAGTGTGTGGGGTGCTGGGGATTGAACCCAGAGCTTAGGGCCTGCTAGGCAAGTGCTCCTATCGACTACATCCCCAGCCCTGTTTATTTTGAGACAGGGTCTCACTAAGTTACCGAGGCTGGCCTCAAACTTGGGATTTACATAGAAGACTATCTTTTAAAAAATTTTTAAGAAGATCATCTTTTAAAGTTTAAGGTCTAGGGCTGGAGTTGTGGCTCAGTGGTAGAGTGCTTGCCTATCATGTGTGAGGCACTGGGTTCGATTCTCAGCACCACATATACATAAATGAATAAAATAAAGGTTCATAAACATCTAAAAAATATTTTTTTAAAAAGTTCAAGGTCTAAGCAAATACTCAACCAAACATTAAAATAGTCTGGAGGATTATCCTCCAGTGATTGGGGATTCTTTATTTTTATTAACTATGTTTCTTGCTAGAAGATCAGAGAGGATAACCATTCTGTTTTAGATTAAGAACAAGACACTGCAAAATCAGACGGTCAAGATGAGACTTTTTCAGGTCCCCTCCTAGTTTCCTATTTCTCATTCTCCCTCAAACCATAAACACAGTGTGCTTGAGGGGAATAAAATAATTTAAACCTCAGAAACCAAAATAATGCTCTTTAGTTGTTCCGCAGAGGCCAAAGGAACCAGAAAGCAAACACATTATGTTTTTTTAATTCTAGATGAGTCCTCCTCCCCTGCCATAGCTTGTAAGTTCTCTTTAGCAGCAGAAGAAAGATCTTTCAAGTAACTTTGTACTTCCCTAACATCTTCTACGTGACAGTGGTCAAAAGTCCTCCTTTGAAATGTAATTTATACTGAGAGAGCTGTGGGTTCTAGGTCTGAGAAAATGACCTTCTCAGATTGGATGTTTCACGCATTTGCACTTGGCAGGGCCTGGCTAAAGAAACATGTTAACTATGCTAGTTCCTCCTTGATCGTAAATTTCTTGAGGGAATTAAAAAAAAAAAATCACCAACCACGAATCAGGAAGCAATTCATCACTATTCAAAAGAACCCTGTGAGCTGTCCTTGATGACGATTGCAGTTACAGTTTTGCTTTGGTTTTTATTCTCTCACTTTCCCATTTTTATTTTCTTTTGTTCAAAACAGACTACAAATTACTTATTGAATATCTTAACTGAAATGGACCAAGGATTGGGAGTTGGAGTAGAAGACAATATTTATTTCCAGTTTTTATTATCCTTCCTGTGTAACTGTGTACCTAAAATGGCAGATGCCAATAGCTATTCAAATAGTACACAGTGGAATCTAAGATTTTGGCTGTGATATGTATTGAGATCTCATTTATCTTATCACTGTTTAAATAAGTAGGAAATAAGCACACCTACATTTTGTGACAGACCAGTCTTTCTCATGGAAGTTTTCTCATCAGCAAATGATTTGTTTTCTAAAACAATTTAGTATTCAATATACAAGTTAATGGAGCATACTCAGATTGGAAAGAGAGAAAAAAAAACAGAAAAGAAAATTTCCTACACCTAAACAAGTTGAAACAAGGTTGGCGAGCTAGAGTGCTATTTTTGGTCCTCTATGAATTTCTGGCAGAGAGCTGAAAAAAGCAGATGTTCATTTCATTCTCCTCCTCTGCCTTCATTTACATCTATCTGCCCTTTCAAGAATAGTTCATCATCCTTGGTATGTCAGCACCACCACTGGGGACAGGAGCATCTTTGAGCAGTCTTGAGACAAAAATATATACTTAAGCTTAAGTAGACTAGGGCTTATGTACAGGCTCATTGTTTAGGACATATTATCAAACCTAATTAATTTGAAAAATTCATGGAATTGACTTCAATGACTCACAAATCATTAGACATTCACGTTTGAGTGCTTATTCCATAATATTAAAATGACAAACAGGAAAAACAAATAGTGCCATTTGTTGGTGAGCCAATAATTAGCAGTTGATATTTTCAACATATCCACTTTAAAGCAGTAATTTTAAGAAAGGTACTCAACTGGTTCATCAACTTTGTTTTAAATTATAGTCTCTTGCAGACAGTGTCCTGGGAGCCAGAACTTGATTACCAACAAGGAGCATTACATTGAGGTCACGGTTTTTGTTCCAAATTGCTGTTCTTCCACAGGATGAGCCTTTTGGTTTTCAGCTATCAATCTGACACACTAAGAAAAACACACATTGTCTGGTGGCCAGAAAGAAGTCAACCAGAATCTTGTTCCTACAAAGCATCTGAGGAAGGCATGAACCCCTAACACCAACTAAGCTCAATGATGGAGTAGTTACTGGGGGAGGAGGACAGCAGTTTTGGAAGGAGTCTTGCCATCTTTAACCTCACAAATACAACTTGACAGGCAAGACAAGGGCACAAACAAAAAGAGGACAGCAGGTGGTGGAAGAGAAAAGGAAGATCCTCAAGCCTCAGACAAACTGAGAACTTTGTTATTTGATTACCTTTACAAATCAGCCAGAACCTTAATTGTTTAAACTCCTATTATATACAGAGCTGTAGAGTACACAGACTAACCTCTATAGATAACACAATTTCGAGGTTGGAAGGAATCCTGTAGCTGATGAACCACCTACATCCAATCCAAGCTCTGTGCTCTAATACTATGCAATCAATACCTTCTTGAATTCGTATTGGAGTTATTATTCAAAAGGACACAAAAGCCTCAACCCTTAAGATTTTGTGCTTCTCCAGGTAACTTTGAGGGTTGTTTTTAATGGGAAGTGGAAAACCAAGACAAGAGTTGTCCCTCTGGTCCTAAATGATCCAGAGGTTTATCCAGCCCCATCTTCCTGACTCTTCATGTGCAACTTTCTATCCTTGGAGCAAGCAGAGAAACCTGGCATGTGCTTTGAATGCCACAGTGCTAAATTAAGAATGTGTTCACCTAACTCAGGAAGGAAAGTTCACTGGAACTGACCAGGGTCCTAAAGAATTACTGCTGGGGACAGGCTACTGTAAGTCTTCCATAAACCTTTCAGGGAGAGGACACTGCATTTCCACACAGCCATGTTTCATCTGCCCCCACAGAAGCCCTTTGCTCATGCTTTCTGTGCTAAGCAGACCCCTTTGCCACTTGGACACATCTGTCTCTGTCAGTGGCCTCAGCTACAGACTATACCTAGTTGTCCTCAGCTTCCAGAAAAATAAAATTAAAATAAATAAATAAATAAAAGGTTTCTTTTCGATTGTACAAAATGAAGGTGATTTTACAGCTTGTGAGAGACTGAATGGGAATACTGAATGAAACTATGACAGTCAGAACACATATAGGTTTGTTTGTTTTAAAGGTGAATTGCTCCTTTCAGAGGGTATACAAACAGAACAATAAACTTTAAGCAGAAACATTTTTTTCAGATCTAAATGTGGTCTGAGCATCCTTGCCTCAAATTCCATTAATATCATTTTAATCATTAGCTATCTCTACCTCCTCTCTGGATCCCACCCCACAGAACTTCTATTTTGACTGTCTGGATATCTTCATTGAGAGGACTAGAACTCTAAAGTGATCCAAGACCTTCACCCTGTAACACACCTCATTTTAAAAAGGAGTGACGTGAACAGAGATGTTTTTGGAAAGTTTACTTCTTCATTACATTTCTTTTGAAGGAAACTCGGTAACATCTTAGAACATCATCTCCCAAATAAAAGAGCTTGAAGAGGGAATTCCATGTTATGGTGAGATAACTTTTACATGGTCTATTTACCCAATCTTCATCAGCACATGACTTAAGGTCAGATTCCCCTCGTGAGGGCCAGCAACCTCAGCTGAGGGCAGAAACTAATACAGGCTACTGCTTCAAAAATACAAGTGTCGAAACTGATTTTTGTGTAGTCAAGTATTCATAGAAGATAATTTCAGGAGGACATGGGGAAAATCCCCGTAAAAGAACAACCTGTCAGTTTAAAAAGTTTTAGAAGTCTTTTTTTTTTTTTTTTAAGGTTTTAGTAGTTTTGAATAGGATGTCTATATTTGGTTTTAGTTCTGGAAATAGGAAGTAAGAAAAGCCTCATTAATGAGTGCACAATTATTCTAAGCCAAATCTAAAAATGAAGGTCAAGATCAGAAATATGGGTTGTATGTTTTGTTTTTAAACCAAGGAAAAAAAAAAGGTGCTGACACATAGCACAAATTCATAATGAAAAATGATCTTGTTAAAAAAAAATTCCCCAGTATGTCAGCACAACAGTACATAATGTAACATCTCCTGTTGTTTAAATTAATGAAAACATTTAAAGAAGGGCAAGATAAATCAGATAAAAACTATAAGTAGAAAGGTTTCTACCCTATTTCCAGCTCAGGCTTATGAGACAATGAAGAACAAAGTGAATAATGACAATGTAAACATCTCATCAATCCTGAATATTTCTGTCCTAGAACTGGTTTGCAGTTATTATACCTTCAATGGCTCAACATCACAATCCTCTTTCACCACCCAAAGGGAGCTGTCCTTTCCCCAAGTTCAAAAAAAGGTAGGAAGGAGGTACAAATTCCAGAGTAAGCTAAAGACAGAATGACATTCAAGTTTATTTCCTGGCTGCTTTTGTGATTAGGGACTAGGGGTGTACTATCCCCTACACAAGCTCAATAAAACATGGGTAAATAGGATAAGAGAATCCTGGTCTCCTAAGTTAGTTTTGAAGGATCCCCTTCAGGAACACAGGTACTGTCTGTTTTTTGGTTGATTAGCATACTAAAATAGGGAGACGAAAGAAAAACCAAACAAACTCCATAAAGGCTCAGTTTGAAATATGTTAAGACGATAAAATAAAACCACAGTGACACCAAGAGGGGCCAGTGTAGCATAATCGAGAAGTACTTGTTGGAGAAGTCAGAAGAACTTTGCTCCAAGTCCCGTGTCTGCCTCTAACTATAGCCTTTGGGTGAGTGACTATCTCTCTGAACCTTGGACTAAAGAGCACAACTTAACTCAATTATGATTTTCAGTTGAATGACAAAAATTGAAAAACTTAAGCCAAGAGCTAAACTGAGGATAAGAACATTATAATAAGGATAAAAAGAGATGTCCCACAGAATGAAGATCTTTACTTCAGTCCTAGTAGACTGGTGAGGACAGCCTAACACAAATGTACCTTGGGAACAGAACAATATTAAGTCAAACCTGATACAGGAAAAACACACTACACCTCTTAAAGCCATAGCCAAACCTTCAATAATGCTACATTGATTCCAAGGGCCACCACATATTAGACTTTCTATTGAGAAGAGCATTACTTTCAGGAAGAGGTTTAATTAAGACCGACCTCTGGGGTTACATTTTTGGTAACATTCATGTACAACTACAATTTAAATTTTGCTTTTTACAAAATCTACCACCACTCTCCCAGCAGGGAAAAAATTTAAAAAAAAAATAAAAACACCGAAAAGTAGAGCTTTAATGAAACTCAAAGCAGAATTGCTCTATTTAATTTTAGACAGCTGTGTCTCCCCTCACCAAAAACACTGAACTCAGACACACAAACAGGAAAGCGACAAAGTGTTTCCCAAACAGGCTCCCGGATTCCTTTTAATGCTGTTCCTAAGGGAAGGGGGAAAGTGATTTGACATGGCTGTAATGAATAGTCCCAGCAGCAAATCCTGGATTCTTAGAGCAAAGGACTCCTTTTCACTACTTTCTGAAGGCAGCAGCAGACAGTTCTGCAGGCTGAGAATGGGAAGCTGGCTGAGGGGTGGGTTCCTTCAAGTCAGCCTAGTGAGAGCAACTGTAGTAGCCAAATTCTCAAAACAAGAGGCGGCTCTGCAAGCTATTTCACAGTTAAACATCACGCCTAGCTATAATCATTATATAAAAGGGTAAATACAAATCAGTTGCTCATTCCAAGTTTAGGTTTTCAGCCCCTTTGAAACAACAAAGAGCGTACCCACTTCAGAGGCCAGTAAGGAATCGGCCTGCCAGTCCAACCAGAGCAAAGTAGCTGCTGCAGATAAACAGTGGTTAGTGAAGTCATCCGGACAGAGGACACTTTTACGTGACCCTCTTCTCGGTTTATGCCATCACTTCAGTTCATAAACACGTCAAGGTTTTGAGAATAATTTTAGAAACCCAGCTAGTAAAGCTGGCTCGTTAAAAAGAATAAAGCCATCTAATGACCAAAGGGAGACAAAAGAAACATTGAGAAAAGTTTTCTCCCTTTAAAATATTGTCAAAACGAAGGGCCAGTGGGTGCAGAGCTTTTCAGAAGCTCACCGAGACGTGTCAATTTGCCAAAAGATTGAACTGTTTACTAATTAGTATGAGACAGTTGAAGGCTGGAGGAAATGAGGAGGAACTGATTTAGGGAAAGAGAAAGCAATGACAAAAGTGCATGGAGTAATCCATTATTTACTGATACTTCAAGATTTTCCTAGAGGAGGCCTCAAGGGCAAGTGGGGAGATCTAGCACCAGGTGCCAATCTTCTTCAGCAATAAACCAGAGGCTTACCTCTTTGGTGTTGGTGGCATATTTGAAAAGCAGATTCCTTGGTAAGGATGCCTCTGCCTGAACAGAAGTCACTCCATCGGCCCCAGAATCCCAGGGGTGGTCATTCACGATGTATGTACACTTCTCTTCAAACTCGGCTTCTGTCCACAGAGTCATGTCTGCATCCTCCATGTCCATTTTCATGGTCTCCTCAGTCCCCTCTGCCAACCCTTGAAACTTTACAGCACTGGAGCTACACTTGGGGGCAGCCTGGAAGAGAAGGGAAAGGCCTTCAGTCCCCATTGTCCTGCTGTTCCTATGGCTCCCTCTGAGAGGCTATGACTAATACAGTAGTCTGAAGACTTTAAAAGCAGATGCAGAGTGCTTGGTCCAGTTGAGTAAGAGCCCAAAAGACATATAAAGTACATTGCCTTGAAGAAGCAAGGTTTTTAAATGCTACTTAGTTATTTAAAAAAGAAGAAGAAGAAAAAAATAAGAAGAAGAATGTGGCAACCTCACTGGGGGGAGAAGAAACACCTTTGAACAATCCCTGGCTTTACCTCTCACGGCAGAAAAATGTTGTGGGCGCTGTGTCCTGTGTCCCAGAACGCCTGGGGTCATGGCCGCCAGACCCTCAGCACTGTGGAAAAGCTGCCTCAGAAAAGTGTCACAAACAAGGAGAGGAAGAGGAAGGAGCTCTGTCTGCCTCTGAATGAAGCTAAAAATGGAAAGCGCGTGTGGTGCAGGAGCGGAACCCAGCCTGCCTTTTCCAAACGGGGAAGACTGAACTTTCCCACCAGCTCCCAGCGCAAAACAACTTTCAAAACAACTGCCCCCCCCCCTTTCTGCTACGCGCTCTTTCATCCTCTCGCATGGAAGACTGAAAAGGGCTGCATCCTGCCAGCATCACTGAGCTTCAGACAGAGATCGTCTGGACCACAGGAAAAAGAGGGAAAATGAGGGAGGGGAAAACGCCCCCTCCCCCGCAGCTTCTTTGGATCTGTGGGCATCACACTCCAAATTGACAAGGCACAAAACATTAAACTATTCAATAGAATTCCCTGAAGAGAATTCCTTTAGGAGCCCTCAGCTACAAATAGCACTTTCCATTTAAATCTGAAAGTGTACAAATTCCCAGAAGTCACTGATGTGCTACAGTTTACTGTAACTAAAGTTATAACAAATATAGAAGACTCAGAGCACAAGATCTGCTTCCACTTGTAAACTGATGAGGATAGTCCCCAAATCCACCCGCACACAGCAAAAGTGCTTTCCAAAGGAGAGAGATAAACAACTTCTGCAGTGTATTCCCACGTAGATAGATGTGTTTGATAAAAATTAGGAATGGGGGTATCCTTTCCATGGAAGACGTGCTTGTTAAAATGTAAACACAACACCGTGGAAGTCCATCAAGATAGTTCTACATTCTTCCACTTCTTTTCTAAATATGTTGCTCTTTTCTTTTTTAAAAAAAGATTTGCCTCAGTTAAGACTTAAAATAGCTTGTTTATTTACAACATGTAGAGTCATAACGCCATATAAATGTTAAAAAATAAAATAAAATTGAAAACTTCAGCAGACCCGGAATAGTTATTTTGTTTGCCGGGGGGTGGGTAAGAACCACTACTGAAATTTCAATGAATTGACAATTATGTCTAGAACCGAAAGGGTTAATGATTCATAAGGAAAAAGTCTTATAAATGTTTGACAGTACTAAGTGTACTAAAACAGAAGCATTTCTCCTTCTACCGCAACTGCGTTATCAAAAAAAAAAAAAGATTAAAAAAAAAAAAGGAAGAACGAACGAAAAGAAAGAGCGAAAAGAAAGGAAGTAAGGAAAAAAGAAAGTTTTTAGGTCAATTTCAAAATAAAAATAAAAATCAAGTTCCTTACCAAGGTCGTACCCACACGTTTTTCCAAGCAAAGATCCAACATCTGAGATAAGTCTCACTCATGACTACCCAGTCCACATTCTCCCCGCGCCCCGGGCCGGGCTGAGCAGCACTGACGCGCACCTCGGCGGTCCCTCCTTTTCTACCGCTGCCCCGGCGCAGGCTCCCGGCTCTCGGCGGACAGGTGCTGCGCGCTGCTCTTGCCTCTCCGCAACACTGGAGGGCCGAGTGTCACGGCAGCACTGTCTGTGTTAACCAGAACGGCGGCTCTTTCTCCTCCCAGCTGCAGACTTCACTAGCCACTCGTCTGATTCACTCCTACCAGCTGCCAGAGATGGGGGCGTGGCCATACCTGGGCTCGCCCGAGCTGCGCGGAGCCCAGGGCTTTCCCCCGGATTGCGAGCCGCCGCCGAGAGCTTCCTCTCTTCGCGTCTGAATTTCAACATTTACTTGGAATCCTCTTACTTCCCTTTGAAGTCACTTACCCTCAACGTTTAATGGTGCTGTATTGTATTCTAAATACTCCAGATCGCCCTGCTTCCTGTCGCGGCAGAATACGGGGGCGCACACTCCTTAACTGAAGGAAACCTAAAAACTATCTAAAACATTTGTGTAGTTCCTCAGCTTGAGTCCGCAGTTACAGGATTCACAGAATTGACCTCGGAAAGAGCAAGTTGAAACGTTTTTGCCTCCAAGGTAATACTAGGTAGCTATCCATGGCTCAAGTTCTTGCCTCTCAAATACACAACCACCCTTCTCCCCTGCCCCTGCTTTAAGATTCCATTTCTCCTTCCAACTAAATACATTCCAAGTAACTTCCTTCTTTCAACTATTCGGTAAAAAGGGAAATAGGAAAAAGTTATGATCCTACAGATTCACATTTTTCCCCCCTTTCTTCTCAAAACCCACATGTAGACTTCCTAAGGAGTGTGTAAGTAAAACGTGGAGCTTTAATTATTTCAGAGTTAAAGGGAATATTGAACTGATCACTGCAAGGGGAAAGCGGTTGGAGGCAATAATTAGTGGGGCTCATTCTGAGCCTGGCTGGCTTTTCCTCCAGCCCCAGTCAGTCCTCTGTTGAAGGAAGGACATCCTGTGATGATGGCATACAATGTCCTGTTTGTTTATTATTAAGAGCGTGGACCTTGCATTCCTGCTTCTCATTACAAAACAAACCAGATGCTTTACTTCCTTCAATGGTCTTGTGCCTTCAGCAAGGAATCCTCTAATTCAGAGAAACAATGATGCAAAGGGTCCATTTATAGCAAGCACCCCATTACAATTACTATTTAGATCACCAAAATACAAGTCTTCCACTTTCCTGCTTGCCTCACCATAGATAGTTAAAAAAAAAAAAATTCATCTCTCTTTCTACGGTAGCCTGCAATGTCTTTTCTAGTATTTTAAATATGCCACGTGTGCATACACACCCACACACACACCCACATATACACACCCAGTCCCAATCTGATGATACCAACTTAGTCATACAATGAAATGGACATTTGAGTATTTGTTTACCGAAAGAAACTGAGACAAAGCAAAGCAAAAACCCAATTCAATCATAAAGGTAAGTCTGTTTATCTTTAAATTTTCTTTCAGGAAACTTTCCTAGAATTTTATTGTTGGTGGTGGTGGTGGGGAGGGGAGGAGGTAAAAGGTAATATGCCAGAGCAGTATGTGTGTGTGAAATCTTTGTACAATCTCTGTAGCACAGAACAATTAAATTCCCACTAGGGGACATAAGTAGCACATACTCCCTGCTGGCTGTGGGTCCACCTGTTATTGCATGTTATGCCAGAGGGGACGCTAGCACCAAGAGGAAACAGGGCTTTTAAATCAGCTGATGTGCTAAGGGTGTAAAACTGAGTGAACAATTCCTAAGAGCTCTCAGAAAGCTCCAAGATGATAATTAAACAAGAGAAATCCAGTCTTCTCGAGAGGGTTTATTAGCTGATGCTGAGTCAGCGCCACAATGGACAGAAAAACAACGCAGTCATACTGAAGGCCGGCCTGCTGCTCAGAGTCTCCTTGGCAGATTAAAGAGTATTTCACTTCCCTTTCAGCATCCAACTCTGTTCTGGGACCACATATGCCCTGCAAGTGCCAGTGAGGGAGCCAACCACAGTGGAGTAAAGGGATAGGCAAAAAGGCTAATATTCCAGAGGGCTATAGTAAGCCAAATATTTGCTTTAATGACTGGAAGATGCCAGTGAATCAACTCACTGTTAATTAATATCAGCCTGCACTCACCTTCAGAGGTGGTGAAATGGGCTTGAGTCTAGGGAAGACGCAAACATCAAATACCAGTGTGGGGCTTAGCTAGGCAACCCTAAAATTAGTTCCAGGTGCTCCAGCTGAGCTGGACAAGGCCACGGTGGAACTTCAAGGAAAAGAGAGTTTGAGGCACAGTGTTGGAATATCACATCCTTCCAATGTTCAAAAATGCTTCTTGTCTCAAAGTGAAAGGGGAAAAAACTCTTAAAAAACCTCCCAAACCTCCAAGACAACTTTTGACTCTGATCATTGGGGTCAAGGATAAGCAATAATATAATTTCAAATGAAGGACACAAAAAAGGAGGAAGGAATAAAGGAAAGGAAGCAGGTTTCATAACAGGACCAACCAGGTTCATATTTTAATATTTAGTTATTATCCAGCATGAAACTGGTGAGTGGGGAGGAAAGGCACTGACCTGAACTTCACTCAGCCCTTCCAGAAAACTAGAGCAGCGCACATGTAGAACGCTGACTAAAGCTGGGAGACGTTGGCACTGGTACAGCTGTGCAGAGAGAGCTCTGGGACTACCACTGTCAGGAATCTGAAGTCTCAGAATGTTTCTAAGTAATAACTTGGTGCATTTTTAGTCACCATGTCATTTCCCTCACTGTCAGGGCACACACACACAAAAAAAATTGACAAAAAGAAAAAAAATCGGTTACCTTTATTAATCAGCATTTCTCAGGCAGGGTTCTCATTAAAAGTGTTCACAAGAGCAGCAAATCACAATGATCCAAGTGGCTCTGTCCTCAGAAATCCTAATCTGTTCCCTTTGATGGCATCATAACAGCAGCTCCACAAGCTGATGTTAATTCAGCTTCAGCTACTGGGCTAGGTTTCCCTCCCCCCCTCCAGTCTTTGGGTGGGTTGGAAATGGCAAAGTAGGCGGCCAGATGACTATGGGGAAAAGGGGACTGATGTAGAATGAAGAGAAATTGAGTATCAAATCTGCATACCTGACTCCACTTGGGGAAAAGAAATTTTTTTCTTTTCTTTTTTTTTTTTTGGTTACTAAGGAAAGTAAAAAGTGGGATGAAATATACTCAAGATGAAACGTGTTTTCATTTTCTAATTCAACTCCTGCCATACCCAAACAAGGT